TACAGTACGTTCTCCATGCTTTGTGTCTGCATGGAAGCTCATGCGCTATCGTCTAGAGAACTGCGTGCCGCTGAAGGGCAACGGCCAGCAGCCGACGTCGGCACCGAAGCCCACGGCCAAGCCGGTGAACCCAACGCCCAAGCCGGTCAACCCGACGCCCAAGCCGGTCAAACCGACGACCAAGCCCACGACCAAGCCCATGTCCAAGCCGTCAGGCACGGTCGCGGTCTGGGGTCAGTGCGGCGGCAAGGACTACAACGGCGCGACGGCGTGCGTCTCGGGCACACGCTGCGAGAAGCAGAACGACTACTATTACCAGTGCCGCCGGGCTACCGAGTCGACCGATATTGATGACGACGAGGACGTCGAGAGCGACGAGGACGAAGGCTATTCGCGCCGTCTGCTTCGCCGCGTTTAATTCTCTTGTACATTTGTGTGCTGTGTCACAAATACGTTTGGTTCAGCGTAAAGTGTTCTAGACGAGTGAAGAGGCGCCGTGGGGTTGTTGTTGGCAAATAGTAGATTGGCTGTGATCGGTGTGTTCTGCGGTGTGTTCTGCGACACAAGGAGCAGAAGCGATCTTTTCGAGAGCGGAGCTTTGAAAATGCTCTGATTGTAGATTTCTGCTCCCGTCAATCAGCCCACCACTCCTCCCCAGAGACCGGGGCGGTGATTCAGGCAATATAGATAAGACGCCCTGCCCTATTCTCGACCTGAGCGCTCTTATGTCTCGAAATTCAATGTTGGGACGTGTGACTCGGGACTTGGTCGTGACTCGCAAGTGGTAAGTACCATCGATAGCGTGGGGAATCATGGGTGCAGACACGACCTTGCGTATGCAGGGATGTGCTCTCATAGCCAGCCAGACCAAGCTCTGGATGAACTCTTGCCAAGGCCGCGCCAGAAACAACGTTGGACTTGGGCCAAGCACAGAGCTCTTTCTGGCCAGTCTACCGCACCGGTGGGGTCTCAGTAACGCACAGTCGCCATGATCGCAAGCTATCGATCATGTGATGGTAGATCGCAAGCAAAAACATTCGGCTCCAATGAACGATATTCTCTTGCTTGATCTGGTGTCAGCATCGACGGCTACGAGGATGGGCAGCATCAATATCGACCGAGCGCTAATGCGAAAAACGCAGCCTGGTCGACTCGCAAACCTAAGTGGCGCGCAAGGCGCATCTTTACGGGCCGACGGCTCGAGTCGCAATGTATATCGTGTTTGCAGCCGTGTTGGACCTCGCATATCAGAGGCTGAATACACGGCCTCGAACCTGTGTCCAGTGGCTCAAGAATCGCGTCTAGAAGGCCTCTTGGCGCTCGGATGATATTCGATACCGAGTGGTAGGCCAAGCGCGCACTACCGATCGTCACAGTGTCAGCGTGCAACCGGCCATGCAATATGTGGCTCATGATTTCTATAGCGTTTGTCAGTCTAGCATTTTCCACCAACCGCGCTCATGAAGTTTCTGACGACGCTCCTCGCGCTTGCCGCGCCGCT